CCTGCCAAAGGTTTTTCATCCATAAATTCTATAACCATTGGGATTTAAAATTTCGGAAACAACAATCTAGAAAAAAGTATGCCAAACATATACAGACTTATTTTTCTTGTTTTGAGTCCCGAAGCAATACAACATTCTCAACGCCACTGGTGATGCAGAGCTGATGTGAAGTGTAGAGGAGGGTGTGTGGGTTCTGACTTCAGTGTCTGGGGGGTCCTAGGGTAGGTCCCCTCTAACTCTGTCAGATGGGCATTTCCTCTCCCACACTGTCCCTGCAGTGCTGCCCAGGCTCCATCATCAATCCCTGGAGATGCCTTTCTGGGAATTCTCTTCCCTTGTTTTTCCTAGAATCGCTCTTTAAAGTTTTCTTATGTGTCTCCCTTTGTGTTTCAGTCATTGTTGGACTCTTTTCATCCTTTGCTTCTTCTTTATTGTCAGCCTTATCCAGGAAGCACCTCCACTCCTGGAACCTCTTATTTTCTGTAAAATATGCCTGAAGATTTGTTCAAAAAGAACCTCAAACTTAGTCTGGACAAACCTTTGTGAGTAAATAGGATTATTTGTCCCTCTTTGTCCCTTCCTCCTCTGCTTCCCAGCTCTGGATAATCTACCCCTGCATGGCTTTTCAGGTGCCCCACTCATTACTCTCCCGAGTCTACTGTGATGAATCCTTCCCTCCCTCCCTCCCTTCTCTCTCTCTCTCTCTCTCTCTCTCTCTCTCTCTCTCTCTCTCTCTCTCTCTCTTTTGTGTTGCTGAGGATTGAACCATGACAGGTAAGAAGTTTGCTGCTAATATCTTAATATCTAACTTTTCTTGAGCTTGTCAACAAGACACTCTTCTACTTTTTTTTTTTTTTTTTTTTTTTTTGGTGCTGGAGATTGAACCCAGGGCATTGCATATACCAGACAACTATCTGCCACTGACTTATACCTTATACCTACTCCCCCTTGCACTACTTTTTTTCTTAAAAATACATAGTTCAGGCTAGCCTATAACTGAGCTCCTTCTCCCTCTGCCTCCCAAATGCTCCAGCTCCAGTTACAGGCATGCTGTGATTTCAATGAAGCAAGGAGGATTCTCGGGAGCTGCTTCAGACTAAAGATGTATGGAGTCTCTCACTCAAACAGCTTGGGTTCTGTCTTGTAAGGAGTTGTCAACCGTGGATTATTTTATCAGGAGATTTAATCCTTAACAGCTACAATTACAAGCATGTGCTACCATTCCTGCTGCCCATATGTGTGTTGAGGGTCCTGTTCATTCATAGTAGTTCATGCATTTTTGTTGTTGTTATTCAACACCTGCATAGGACCAGGGATTGGAAACAGAGTAGGTCTTGTGCCCTAGTGGCTCATAGGGCTATGGATGGAGGTTTTGGCTGAACTTCATGCTGCAGCTCTGACAGGCAGATTTTCCCTTTGTATACTACCATTGGCACTGTGCCTAGTTTTAATGCCATATACTGTCTTCATTGACAGCTTCTGGTGTCTTGGACTAGTAGTCTGAGTTGCAGGTTCTTTGGTCATAAAGTAAGCGCTGAGGTAATTTTCTCACTTCTGGCATTGGAACAGCTCTGAGCCACTCAGAGTTTTGCCTAGTTCTTCTATATGTGTCCCCTCTCTTGGACCTTCATTCATTGTGGTAACTGTCGGTTTTATGAGATAAGCTCAAAACCATTGACACTTAATCCTCTGAGCCTTCTCCCCGGAGTGGGAAAGAGCTATCTCAGCTGGTTTATCTGTTTTCTCTTGGAGACTTCCCTGCCATCTCCAGTCATGTGTCAGTGCAGTCTTTTGATCTTAATCTTTCTGTGCAGTATCATCTTCTACTGTGAAGAGATGCTGCTCCCTGGCTTCTGGGTGCTCTTAGTATGTGATTTGCTTCTGAGTCTTTTCTCTTCCAGGCTAACACTTTCTGGCTCACTAGCCACTTTTCTGTCTTTTTCTTTTCTTTCATTCTGTGTGTCCTGACTTCTTGACCTAATGTCCAGGGAAGTGATCAAGGAGGAATGGCATTGAGAACATACCCAGGTGTTAGGCTTGAGAATCTGGGAGGCTGGGCATCCCTGTTACAAGATGCAGAATTCTGCAATTGATGCAGAAAGAGTGACAGGCACTGAAGAAAGAGCTGTGAACCTTGGTCTGATGGTGGCTGATTAGCAGAGCAGCCTGGAGACCGTCTAGCAATAGGGCCCATGGAGGCAGCCTAAAGAAATATCAGTTAAGGGGTACTTAGATGGAAAAGAGACCAGATAAGGGACTAAGGGGTCAGAAGCGGGAGGAAATATAAGAAAATGTGGGAGTCTATGATGGAAGGCAAAGGGCATTCTAATGGGTGGAAGCAGGTAGATACTCCTGGTGGATATACCAGAAAACCCATTAAGTTGGTGCCAAGGTGGTTACTGCAGGCCTGGGAAAGAGCCTTAGAGGAATAGGATTGGCAGGTGTGGAAAATAAAGGAATGTGTGATACAGAAAGGAACATGAGAAAGGACACCTCTGGTCCAGCTCCTGGAGAACATACCTATCCTGTGATTTTTTTCACAGCTGGCTTCCAGAGAAGGAACTGCAGAGGAAATGAGCCTCTACCCTAGGACTCTGCAGTCTAGCTGCTAATTTAGCAGGTAGTGTGCCATGTGGTACATTGTCCCTGGTCTCTTGGTACCAATAGCAGCCCAGGTGTTCAAGATCCAGAGATCTGGAGCTCTGCAGCCCCAGAGACACTGCTGGCTCCTGAGGTTAGTTCCCATCTGTATGGCCCTGTCTCTTGTTTGGTTTGTGTCTCCTCAATGCTCTTCAGAGAGTCCATGGCACGGTGAATTGGAGTGCTACAGGCTAATGAGCTGACGGGAACAGATATCATGAGGACAAGGGTACCCTCTTCAGGTGTACTGTTGAGGGGTGTGCAAAATGCATTCCTGGCCTCGTCAGCTCATTTGTGGGGAGCTCTTTGATGCTGCCAATGAGTAGCAGTCACTGATGGATGGTGCTCTGAGCATGATTTCCTTGAAGGAGGGGATACTAAGTAGTACTGATCGTGTGAACTTGGTCTTGGGAGTCACCAGTACCCTACACCTACAGGCTCTGAGCAGCACTGGCGATGGCAGTGTACCCTAATGTTCTTTGCAGGTGTAACTACCAGTCTAGCTCAGACTCCTCAGTCTGGGCCCAGCCAAAGTGTACAGTTTGGGGAATGGGATTTGGAATGAGGCCTGCTTTTGTTTTTCTGTCCAAGTGAACTTTTGTCCCCTGTGGATAGCATCAACATTGCTCCTCCCCCTACAGGCAGACTCCTTCTAACAATGATGTCACACACACATGGGTTCACTGTCCCACAACCACTGCTGACATGCTTGTCTCCACACCCCCCATTTCAGAACTGTATTAGGCACTTCAGCCCCTTGCTCCAAAATGGCTTCCTGGACTTCTTCACCCCCTCTTGCCCTTTTGGACTGTGATGCCTTACCTTCAGTAGCACTGTGCTGTGCCCTAAGTGACCCTTGTCTTCATGCTGACCTGACAGGTGATGCAAGAGGAGAAGAGCTGATTGAAGAGCTGGGGCGAGCAGGATAGGGGTTGCATGCAGTTGGAGCAACAGTGTGAAACCAACTCACTGTAGCTTCTCTGTTAACCCCACCCTGTCCTACCTCCCTTCAGTTTCGTATGTACCTAGGACTAAATTCTCACCTACCCCTCAGGCCTTATAGCTCTAGCCAGAGGTGCAAGTTAGTCTGCATATTCTGGATACCATTTCAATTTTAGGAAAATGGAAATAACATTTTTGAGTTAAAGAAAAAAGTTACAGCATGTTCTCATTGTGTCTGCATTTCTGGAAGTTGGTTATTACCTATTGTCTATTTAAAAATAAATCTGTCAGGAGTGGTGGTGTAGGCCTGTAACCTTAGTTCTCAGGGGGTGGGATGGGATGGAGGAGAGGAGGAGGATTAAGAATTAGTAACCAGTTTGGGTCACTTGGGACCCTGTCTCAAAAAATCAACAAACCGGCCAATCAATTAAAAAATTAACTTTCAAAATGGAACCCGTTAGGGTTAATAAAGGTATATCATAATAGTTACTAGAAAAGTCAGGTATCTGTATTTTTTTTTTTTTTTTTTTTTTTTTTTTGAAGTCCAGATTAGAGCCAAACTGGCAATATGAGTCCTGAGCCTCGTATAGTATATATGTGACCAGCGGGGTGAGCCAGAGCCACTAACCCCAGGTTGGGGCTGTGTCCTGCCCTGTTGCTTAGTTGGTCTTAGGCCTTGCCTGTCTCTTGGCCATCAGCTCTGGGAATCAAGGCTAGTGGGTCTGGCATTGTGGGGGCCTCTACAAACACTATGGACAGAGTATCTATCTGTCCATGTGAGGCAAGAAGGAAGTCTGATTTAACATGATTCAGTAGCTTGTGTTGGTTCAAACACCTTAGACTCTTGACACCAGGCAGTTTATTTTAGGCATTTTTAAGTACAGTGCAATTTGGAAAAAAAGTTTCCTGGTGTAACAATCCCATGTATACAATAAAGTTAATGGCATATTACATTGAAATGCTTTTCAAAGTACATGTCATCTCTCCCATAAAGATGGCTTCTATAGATAGAATACATGTGTCACCTTAAGTTCCCAGGGGAAGATTTGGTGTGATCTTAGTCATGCAGATAGCACAGATGTTGCCTAGGCTATTAACCACCTCCGTTCCCAGCCCTCTGAGTGTAAAACAGGTATACATCTCTCTCCATCTCCCTCTCCTCCTCTCTCTCTCCCTCTCCTTCTCTTTGAAGAGACAAACCTGTGTGTTTAACATCCCTGATTTCTGTGAGCATGAGGACCTTGTGCTCTCTGCATGGCATCCTGCTGTTTTCTGTAGCACAGAGCACACATGCTCAGGGGAGGCTGGCCTGACTGTCTGTCTCTCTTTAGGGCCGAAGCAGAGATGAGGGAGTACAACCGGCTGATCCCCAGAAACACCACATCCCTGTGACTATAGCAGAACTGCCAGGGCTGGCCACCCCCAGAATCATCTAAAGTATCATGGAGCCTCCTGGAGAGAAGCCAAGAGAGGCTGAGGGGCTGAACATCACACCCCAGCTGCTGAAGTCCTGCTCTGGAGAGTTTGCCCTTGATTCCATCCTATTGCTGAAACTTCGGGGTTTAGGGCTGGTGGACCTGGGCTGTTTGGGAGAGTGCCTGAGCCTTGAGTGGCTTGACCTATCAGGCAACGCACTTACCCACCTAGGCCCTCTAGCATCCCTGCGCCAGCTGGCTGTACTCAACATCTCCAATAATCGGCTGACTGGGCTGGAGCCACTGGCTGCCTGTGAAAACCTGCAGAGCCTCAATGTTGCTGGTAACCTGCTGGCCACTCCTGGCCAGCTGCAGTGTCTGGCTGGTCTACAGGGCCTGGAGCAGCTGAGGCTCCGGGACCCTTTGGCCCGGCTCAGTAACCCACTGTGTGCCACGCCCTCCTACTGGGCTTTGGTTCGAGAGCTGCTGCCTGGCCTCAAAGTCATAGATGGGGAACGTGTGAGTGGGAGGGGCAGTGAGCTGTACCAGTTATGCCGAGACCTAGACAGTTCCTTGCGCCCCAGCTCCAGCCCAGGCCCCAGAACCATAGAGGCCCAGCCATGGGTGGATCCTGGCTACTGGGAATCCTGGCCCGTGCAGAACAGCTCAATTCTGGAAGAGGCCTGCCGGCAGTTCCAGGACACACTGCAAGAATGCCTTGACCTGGACCGCCAGGCCGGTGACAGCTTGGCCCAGGCCCTTGAGGCTCTGAGCCCTGCAGAAACCACCTCTTCCTTTGTCTTCTGAATGCCTCATAGCCCAGGTAGTCTCACAATAGTGTTGTTGCCTGCATCCTTTTCCTGCCTTATGTCCCTGCCTCCCTGGTTTTCTCTGGTCACTGACCTTGCAAACTAGGTTGTTCATTTATCCCTTTGTTGAGAGCATCTAACTCCTACCCCATAACTGCCCAAGGACACGTCCTGCCCTCCTTCCTCGCAAGCAGGGACTTGCTTTTCAAGTGGCCTCCAGCAGGTATAGGAGGCTCCCTCACTGGCAAATATTGCAGCCAGGCCCAGGGTATCCTGAGCATGGGCTCTCCCAGGTGCCAAGCCTGAGGCTTTGTGGGTAAGGTTACTTGCTGCCGCTAATCTTATTAAATAGTTCTCTGCTTTGGCCCTGCAGGAGACTCCTATGCTCACCTGCCTGCTTCTTCCTGGTACTAGGCAGGAAGTGTGTGTGTGTGGGGGGGGGGGGAAGTACGCCCACCATCCAGTCTTAGAGTTTTTCTTCTCTGTATAGTCCAGGGAAGAACGACATGAGATTGGAGCAGACTCAGCAATTTTATTAGCATGGAGTATGAAATCTTTGGGATCCACTGGGTACTGCCACAGCTGTACAGGAAGATGGTGTTCTAGAGAAGAAGGGAGCACCAGATTGGGTGTGAGGGTGGTTGTTTTGGTCTAATCTTAGCTTTTTTCCAAGTTTCACATACCCCTTTTCTGCCTCCCTCAGCCCAATTTCATGCCAAGGGCTTTTTCCTCTGGTAACCTACCCGTCCAGGGCTTATTTTTGTTCCAGGGCCCTGGAGAAGGCGAACTGTCCAGGGAAGAAGTAGCTGCGGGAGTCCTCGCCAGCCTGTGCTATCTTATTGCACTGGGACTCCTGAGGGTCCTCCTGTTAGAACCAGTGTCTGTTGCGTCAGTGCTGGTGGGAGAGGGGCCACCACAACCCCCAGGGGAATGTCTCAGCCTCCCCTACCCCACTCTCCTTTCTAGACTTCTGCTACTTATCCCACAGACCCAGATGTGGTCTGTCTCCCCAGGCCCCTCCCTAACCTCTGCCCCTTCTTACCTGGGGCCCTTGCTTCAGTATTGGGCAGTGAACCATCCGGCCCAGAACTTTACCCTTGGGGTCCAATTTGATGCAAGCCAGGCATTTCCGCTTTCTCTGGGGAGGAGATCATGAGAGGAGGGGAAAGGGGTGAGGGGGTCATGAGGGTCAGGACAGGGACAGGCCTACTTGGTATTCTCTAGAGTGGAGGGATACAGTGGTTTTAATAAGAGTGTTCCTCATAGGTCCAGATACTTGAATACTCCAGTTGGTAGCCGTTTCAGGGGCTTTAGGGTTGGCTTTGATGGAGGAAGTGTATCACTGGGGCAGGCCTTGAAAGGGTAAAGCCTTGTCCCACTCCCAGCCCACTCTTTCTGCTTCCTGCTCGCTTTGAGGATGTGAGCTCTTAGCTTTTTTCTCTGGCTGCCATGCCTGCTGGTAGCCACATCTCCCTGCCATGATGGACTTTTATCCCTTTGGAACTGTAAAACAAAATAAACCTTTCATACTATTTGTTGGTTTTGGTCATGGTGTTTTATCACAGCAACAGAAATATAACTAATCTGAGGGGCAAGCCAGATGGATATGTAACTTACCCTGGGATAGGAGATTTTTAGAAGGTCTCTTCTTTAGACATGGTCTTAAGAAGTAGCCCAGGCTGGTTTAGAACTTATGGTTCACCTGCTTTAACTTCCCCAGTGCTACTCTGCCTTGCCTGCAGACTATAATTACTTGTTCAGGGATTATTCCTGTGTGAGTGTGCATATGTGTACTGCTTATATGCAGTATTCTGCATGGGTGTGTTCACAAGTGTTGGTGTGAATGTGCAAACATGTATAAAGACAAGACTCTTCCCCAGATGGTGTTTGTCTCTTGTTTCTCTCTGGTTGGTGTGTGTGTATGTGTGTGTGTGTGTGTGTGTCTGATGTGTTTGTCTCTTGTTTCTGGTTGGGGTGTGTGTGTGTCTGATGAGGACATTTGGATGTCCTGCTATATCATTCTGCTTTATTCCCTTGAGACAAAATCTCTCACTGAATCTGGAATTAGGCTGGCAGCCAGCAAGCCTTGAGTATCCTCATGCCTCTGCCCACTATTGTGCAGAAGTTATAGGCATATGTAGCCCTGCCCAGCTGTTTTCATACGGGTGCTGGGGATTCAAACTTGGGTCCTCATGCTTGCAAAGCAAGGGCCCTTATCACCTTGTCCTCATATTTACATTTCCCCTTTAAGATTTAATTTGTATAAAGGGTCCTGGAACCACGATCTTATAAATCACCAGTAAAACCCAGTCCCTTGCTTTAATTGATAGACCAAGACCGTTGGTGAACACACAAAGCTGTTAGAGAGCAAGAACCTAACCCAAAGAGCTGCACCTTCACCCCAAAGGTCACTCTATACCAACACTGTCACCCCTAGGGTGGCTGATTACCGTGAAACCCCTGCAGCGAGCTGGCTGTAGCCTGGTCAGGGTACAGGATAATCTCCATGGAGAAGCTTTTTAGGAGGAGCCAGACAAATGGACCCACTGGGATGGAGAGATTTTCCTCTTCCTTGCAGACAGCCCGCAGTGATGAGCACAGGCTTCTCTGGGCTGCAGTTCATACCCAGGCAACCTGCCCCTTCAAGGGGCCCCTTCACTCACCCCATTTGGTTTTATCTTGCACTCGGGTTTTTTCCAGTCCTTCTTGAGGCAGCTGGTCTGCTGGAGCTTAAATTCCAACCTCACAAAGGTGCCAGCTGAGAAGGGCTACAGACAGACAACAAGGCCAGCAGGTAATTCCTGGGCATCACTTGCCTCCCAGAAACACCACAGCTTAGAACTAGCACAGCCTAGGAGGATGGATGGCTGGTAGCCTTTCCCAGGAAAGCTTTCTGGGAATTCACTGGTCTCCAGGGCTGCAGTCCTTCATCCCCTACCCAGTCACTACTAACCATGTCGTCAGCGCTGTCCACACCGATCTCTTGGAAGGCCCACTGCACAGGTGGGTGTTTGTGGAACTCCTCTAGAGCCACCTGCAGGCCCCTGCGCTGTGCCTCGCTGAGTTTCAGCTCTGTCCCATGTATGCCCACCATGCCCAGCCATAGGGCCAGGGAGATCAGCAGGCACTTCATGGCTTCACCTTGGTCCTTCTGGTCCTGCAAAGATGGTATGTGATGTTCAGCTCTTAGAACTGGGGTGGGGGTATGGGGGACCTCCTCTCCTGACCTACTCCTGGGGCCAGGAGAATTGCCCCTTTCTGAATCTCTATTGGTAATCCAACTAGCCCTTCCTACTCTGCAAGGCCTTCCTTGTTTTCTGGTGCCAGCAAAGTTTTAGAGTTCCTTGCCAACAGCCCCAGAAAGTAGTTCTGCTGGCTATGGCCACTATAGCCTCTTTTCTGAGCCATTTTCTCTTCCCTTTGGGTCTTCCGTTCATCTCCCAAATCCTCAGCCTCTCTCTGGTACCTTGAAAATATCTGGTTTGTTGCTTTAGCAAGGCCTTTCCCTGTGTAGTCTCTGGAGCAGCTCCCTGGAAGCTGCCCCCTGGCTCTCATCTCCTTTTTCTCTCTTTTGGTCCGCACAGCCCCGCCTTTCCCCACTGACCCTTCTCCCAGAGTCCGGAGTTTTGGAGTTTCCCTTTCCCAAAGTCCCCTGACCTTCCTCTTGGATTGGGCCAGAGGAAGGGGAGGGCCGGGAGCACCAAGTGAGGCAGGCTGCAGGCTGAATATTTTTCAGAAGACGTAAATGTAGGAGGACATGCCAGCCCAGGGCGGTGACAACTGCAAAAAGCTTAACCCTCCCTGCACCAGGGCTGCAGCTGCCGTGAAGACAACTGTGCCCAGGGTCCCTCCAGCCACCCCACAACCTTGCCCTGGCTTCTCTATCAGATCTTCCCTCCTCCTCCAGCCCCGTTTAAGTCTGTTTTCTTTCAACACATACTGGGGTCAGCTGACGAGGTGACTTTTGGAAGAACCCACTAGAAAGCCACTGATGGGGAAACTGAGGTCTGTTGCCTCAGCTTATCTTGTGTGTCCAGCGAGAGAGTTGCTGTGTTGCTGGCTAGCTGCCTTCATCTGCCTCCCAGGCATCTCCCTCTTGCGCCTCTTTTCCCTGATGTCTCATTCACGTAGGCCTAACTTTGGCTGGCATCAGTCTCTTCCTTGCAGAGGCTCCAAGTGGACCCTCCCTCCTGCAGTCCTGCCTGCAGCTCCACTCCTGGGTGTGTGTGGGGGCAGGAGGTGGGGGCCAGCCACGTCTCCACATGTAGACCTGCCAGGCTGGGTGTCTTCCCACCTGCCTGGTGACTCCCCATGGACCCGGGACGCTGATGCATCTCTCCAGCTAGACAGCCAAAGACTTGAGCAAGTGCAGACATCTTATGTCACCACTTCCTGCCTGAGGATCTGAAGCCTTTCCAGGCCTTGGCTGGCCAGGTAGACCATTCCCCTGAGAGTTGAAGGACTGCTACACTCTCTGAAGAAGTTTCTTTTACAGCCCCAGTTGCCCAGGGCTGCCCTTTCTTTCCAGGGTGCTGGAAATCCCTAGCTGAGACTCTCTGGTCTGTAAATTCTTTCCAGGAATGTGCCCTGAGAAAGGAGGACTGTCCCGCAGGGCTGCCATCCTTGTTGACTGTCCTTGTTGGCTCCACATGCTGCTTTCCTGGCCATTCCTGAGGTCCCATCTGAGTGAGATGGCTTAAGGTCTCATATTGCTGTTGTGGTGTTAGGGGCCTCTGTGTGGGACTGATGGTCTGCTGAAACTCAGAAGGGAAGGACAGACCAATGTCCAAATACTGATTCAACTTCTGGGTGCCTTGAGCAAATGGGAAAAGCCTGGGACTGCATATCATTAGCAGTCTCCATCATTCCCTAAGGTTTGTTATCTGAGACCTTCCAGCCAAAGTGTGGTCCCTGACAGTCAAGCTAGGCTCTGCTCTAAATCCCCAATAACACAGACAAATAATAGTGAAAGCAGAGAAGCTTTACCTGATGTGGCCATACTGGGAAGATGACAAAGAACTACAGTGACCCCAGAGTCTGTCTTCTAGGCATTGCCATAAAGTTTAAATGTTTTGCCTGCATGTATGTCTATACTACATGTGCATGCCAATTGTTCACAGAGGCCAGGAGACGGCATCAGATCATCTGGAACTAGACTTACAGAAGACTGAGCCACCATGTGGATGCTGGGAATCAAACCTTGGTATCTGGAAGAGTATCCAATATATTTAACCACTGAGCACATCTCCAACACCTGGAATTCAGTTTTAAATAGACTGCAAGGGATGTGCATATTTAGTTGTCTTGGTTGGCATTTAGTCCCACCCAGGGACTTACACACAACACTGAGCCATCAATGCCTTCTCTAGTCACACTTGTAAGATGGTCTAACAAGTTGCCAGAACTGTATGAAATCTTTCTGAGAGGTAAGTTCCTCCTGGCTCATACCAGATTCCAGCCTTTTCATTCTTTCAACATGAGACTCTTCTCTCTTCACAAGACTGTTACAGTGCTAAGTCCTGACTAAGCCAGGCCCCTGAAACAGAATCTCACACAGACTTCTCAGTGTGTCAGACCATCTGTCTGAAAGTGGGGCTGTGGTCCCTTTGAGTTGTTGAGGATGGAATGGGAAATTGAAGGACAGTGGCTGCCTGGTAGAGTTAGGAATAAAGTTCTCTCCATGCATGGGTCACACCTTGCCAGGATTCTTCATTTAGAGCTAAGGGCTTTTTTAGCACGTGCTCTGGGTGTACCAGCAAGATATTCAGCCCCAAGAACCCATTCCTAGCATTTCAGTCTGCAACTATCAGTGAACAGAGATAAGAGATGGTGATCCAGTTTTGCTTCTGTTGCAAGGTAATAAAATACCTTGAGAAAAGCAACTTTGGGGGAGAGGGGGGAACGTTTGCAGTTCCAGGTAATAGCCCATCATTGTGGGTAGTCAGGTAGGGACTCAAGCAGCTAGTCACACCCACAGTAGAGAACACAGAGGGAAGGAATGTATGCATGCCTACTGCTAAGTAGCTTTCTCTACTCATTCATATGTAATTCAGGACCCAAACCCAGCTGATGCCCACTTTCAGGCTGTATCTTTTCATACTCAAGAGAATCCCCCAGACATGCCCACAGGCTTAGCTGATATATACAACCCCCCCATTGAGACTCTTCTGGGTGACTGTAGATTGTGTCACATTGACAACTAAAACTAACCACCACAGATGGCAACCGTTTCCAAAGAGCTTTGGGTTCCAGGGTCAATAGGCATACATGTGGCAAGTGTTTCCCAGCCCAAAGCCCCATGCTGTGGGATGCCCTAGGAACTGGTAACCAGAAAAGACTTCCAGCATGGAACTTGAACTGAGAAAAACAGAAGGTGCATCCTGCATGTGGGGGGCACGAGAAGAAGGGACAGTAATTCTTGGAGAGAGGGAGCCTGGGAGCAGGGGGTAGGAGTGGATGATGGAGCGGCTGGCTTTTGTGACATAGGTGATGGCCACACAAAATCCCCTCAGTGCTCCTTGTGCTTATGTGTCTGTGGTCTCTGTTCCAGCAAGAAGTGATTTGACCTTGATGCAAAGATGACCAGTTTGAAAATGACCTTTCCATGTAAATTCATTGATATTTTAAAAATATCAATATAATAAGTATTCATTTAAAGCATTAAATTTTTAGTACTGGAGAGAGGGCTCAGTGGTTAAGAGTGCTGGCAGGTCTTCCAGAGCCTGAGTTTAGCTCTCAGCACCTGTTTTAGGCAGCTCATAAACACCTGTAACATTGACTTCAGGTTCCAGGGCCTCTGACTGTAGTGAGATAGTCCTTCTGTGGCACTGACCACGCCCATTGGGGGTGGAGCCATGGGCGGAAGTGACCTGTGGAAGGCAGCTCATAAACACCTGTAACATTGACTCCAGGTTCCAGGGCCTCTGACCTACAAGGGCACTTGCACTCACAAACCCAGATACACAATTATAATCTTTAAAAAGTAAACTATTAACATCTCAGGCATACTAGCCACATATCAAGCTGGCCAACTCATATGTGGGCACTGGCTGCCTTATTGGATGGTAGATAATACAGAAATCTTTAACTCAACCATGTGAGTTAAAACTAAAAGTGAATCATATATGTCTACTGTATGTGTAGATACACGGGATCTTTCTTGAAAGAAAAGAAACTTCTTGTGAGGGAAGGAAACTGTACTTTTTTTTTTTTTTTAACTTTTTCAGCCTGTGGATAATTTGTCTTTTAAAATTTAACAGGGATTCTAAAAGCTTTAAAAAGTGAACACAGGCAACACACACACACACACACACACACACACACACACACACTATCATTGGGATGTTTGTGTAGTGAATAGAGTGGAGGGGAATGTTTCTTTATAGGAATCAACTGCAATTATCTAGATAAGAGAGGAATGTAATGTGGCTAGGACAAGATGAAGGCTGAGGTGAAGGGGGAAAAAAAGGACACTGGACATCCCCTGTGGATAAAGCATCAGGGGTGGAAAAAGGTTCCTGATTTTTAATGTCCTTAGGTAAATCCTATCTCTGCATACCTAGGACTCCCTTGTAATCCACCATGGTTTGACAGATTGTTCTGGGTCTGGTGAGTCTTCTTGGAGCTCTTTGGCAGATGAATTGAGGATGGTGGCAGTGGATCCTTGAGTTTTCTGTTCTCTGAAATGCTTTATATGTAGCTAGCGATTGCTGTTCTAGTACTGTGTATGGAGTGTCTGCCCCCTTTCATGACTGAGACCCTAATCCTATTGGAATCATTTGCTCAGGTCTTTGATATAGCCAAGCTGTAGCCTACTGAACTTCTAGTGACTTCTAACATAGTGGTTCACAACCTTCCTAATGCGGAAACATTAATACAGTTTCTCATGTTGTGGTGACCCCAACCACAAAATTATCTTGTTGCTACTTCATAACTGTAATTTTGCTATTGTTATGAATTGTAATGCAAATATCTGATGCAGGATAGCTGATATGGGAGCCCCAAAGAGGTTGCAACCCACTGTGAAAGGGACACTAGGATGGATAGCAGGACACAGTCAAAATTTACTCCATCCTACAGTGATTGTAGCCTGTTCAAATGCTTTCTGAGCCTTTATGTCACAGCGCCACATGGACTCCTTTACCAAGTGCTTTCTAAACCCACAGAATGCTCAGAGGTTAGTATTATGTCATAATGAACTCTTTATAAGGGTGTGTGTTAAATTTCTGAGGCAGCTTAAAGGGACAGGAGGCAGAAGAGAGACAGGAATCTGACCAACAGATGGGACTGTGTTTATTAGCACACAAGGTGAAGTGTAGCTTTTCTCTTGCAAGAAATTGAGGCGGTATGTGAAGGAGAAAAGCTGGCTGCAACCCTTTATAGGTCAGGGTGTAGACTTAAGAATAGGGAAATTGTTGCAGCCATGGGATCTATGTGCAGTTCTACAGTCTGTCTTTCCTGAAGTGTATGATTCAAGTAAGATAGATTATCTTGGGGGATAGTTTACCTCTGTAAACAATCTTTTCTGGGATGATTGAGCAAAATCATCTTTAATGTTATAGGAATCCTGTTTTACCACCAAGACACTCTATCAATCTAAACTCATAAAGGGTATAAAAAATGAGGGTGGGGTAGGGGTGTTGATCTTTTTTTAGCTGCTTCCTGCTAAGGAGGGTCATCTTCAGGAGGGGATAGCTCAGGGTCCATTGAAGAGGAGTCCTGGTCACTTAGTAGGAGGAGAGTTTTAATTTGATTGACTTGAAA